CCCTGGCGTTACCACGACGACTACGACGACTCTCCGGGATGACACAGACCTCAGTACAGCAGCCTGGTCGTTTCGACTGGCGGGGTGATGCGTCCGACCCCTCAGGTGGGATTCGGTTGGGCTGTGCGTGTGTTTTTTTAGGAGATTGGGCGATAGTAGGGTACAGCCTCCACGTGACGGGTGTGCCTGCGAAAAGGAGGTACAATACTTATAGTTGTGCGTGTGTGAATACTTGGTTTTCCACGCAATCTCCTCTACACGCGGACGGACCGTGTTTGCCGATCCCTTCGGTCCTCCCGCGCCCCCACTTCATCATCTTCCCCAGCATACATTGGCATGGGTACCCCCACTCCCCCGCGGGCTCGTCTCAACGAATATTTTCCTGTGGGCACTGCTGCAACCAGCTGGTCATTTCGGACCGTCTGGCCACACCGTTGACTCAAGCTGGTAACACACTGGCTGAATGACCGCAAACCAGGAAGACGTTGTCGTGGGCGGGAGTGGCGGCGGCGGCGACAGCAGCAGCACCGGGGCCACGAGAGTCCGCGCAGGTCAGCCTCGAGCGCGATGGCGGGCACGACGTCATCTCCGCAGCAGGGCGAGGACGGGAACGGGGGGGCTCCGGCTGGAGTCCGTCCTCCTCGACAACCCCTGCCCCTTCTCTGCAGCAGGGGAGCGGTGGTGGTGGTGGTGGCGACGTGGACGGCGGCATGGGCTTCATGGGTAACAGCAGCGGCGACGAAAACTTTTTCCACCGAAGACACGTACGTGCGGCCGTCCCTCAAGAGGGCCATCGTCGAGCTGTAGGACACCTGCCACCGGCTGCTGTCGTTCGAGGTGGGCGAAGCCAGGGTTGCTTGTTGCTGCTTGCTCCGGTTGCTGCACAATCGACGGTACTTGTCGAGGCGGTATGAGACTCCAAACCGTGAGAGACCCGCCTCAATTGCCTGGGCGCTTGTTATTTCCCCCCCGCATTCGAGAGGGTAGTCCCTGTCCTACAGTACGTCCTCGAGTGTGTTATATGAGTGCTTTTTCAACGGCTTCCCCTAGCGTGCGCAAATGAATGACTTTGTGCTATGAGGAGATCGATGTCCCGCAGGCGAACAGACATCGATTTCCAGAGCACGTTTGCTTGGGAAATAGTGCCCACCTCTTGTTTTGCTGGTGCACTCAACTAGACGTCAACAATAAAGCAAGAACATATTGCATGATAATTGAACGAGTTGCATGCTTTTTTTTTTGTTTCATGCATGAGCAAATAGACAAACTATACACGGAAACGATGACAACGAACAATTGCAGTTGTAGGCGACGTGGGACTGCATCGCGGAGGACGCTTTGGGTCAGCATGTGTGGCACTACCCGGCCTTCAAGATGTACCTCGGGCTTGGCAACCTCACCCTGCTCGTGTACATGTGGGGGGTCAACATCTGGGTAAGCGAGAGAGAGATAGACCAAGAGAGACACACGCAGAGAAAGAGAGAGGGGGACAGAGACAGAAGGAGAGACAGCGATAGCCCCTGTGACAGAGGCAGAGAAGGGAAATAGATAAACTTGTTGTCACACTCTATTTTTTCGTGCTGGTAAGACTTGAAACAGGGCGAGGCAATCGTGTTTTTTGCGGTCCTGCTTGCACAATGTGTTCATGCTCTCCGTGTCGCGTCACGAGCCAATCTTAAGGGCGAAACAGGTCGGGTTAGACACCCTTTGCGACGTGAACGAGGTCTGCGTGTATACCACATGTATGGTCACGAACTCACCTCACGTCCCAACGCGTGTAACATTCTCAGTCGACACACTTGAGGAGTACCGATTTCTTATCTGACTTCGTTTTTCAGTCGTTTCGTCGATATTCCAGGTTTGGAGGCGTTTCGCCAACGATTGAGGGGTGCCTTTCTCTGGATTCTGAGGGTTTGTAGGTTGACCCTTAAAAGCAGATGACAAGCAAGCGCCCGAACTCGTTATTGAGTTACGCGACGGACATAAAGCAGGGCATGCCAGCCGCGCATCGCGCTGACCTCTGATCGTGGGACCTCCTGAAAGAGAATAGATGGAGCAGACAGACAGACAGATAGACAGGTGGCAGCTGGTGAGGGGGAGAGACAGAAAGACTTCACTGACAGAAATACATCAGAGATATATAGCAAGAGGGAGAAGTACCCATCTTGCGTCAACTAGGTTGATCGAGAGTGCCATCTCGTGTCTCTGTGGGATCGAATTTGGATCCCAACTCCTTCCACTTGTATCTATCTTTTTCGTCCAAACAAGCGACAGGTCTGCACTCGAGTTGCTCACGGCCAAGCGGTGACAGCGTGCGCGTGCGGCAGTAGACTCAGAGATTCAGAGTGATATTCGACGTGGTTGTGTAGAGGCGCGTGCCTCCGTCCTTCCTTTGCATCGGCAAGAATTGGACGGCCTCATACACTCTGTGCAGTTTTGTCGTGTTGGGTCCAGCGCTGTTCGCTTCTACTGGAGCCTTAAGGGCGAATGAATGCCTGAACGCACTTTGCGACTATCCCCCGCTCCCCCAATCCCCACCATCTGGTAACACCTGTCCCCCCCTCGTCTTTTGCGCTTTGTTTTGTGCCAAACAAGGTGTGGAACACCGGGTGCAACCCGAGCATGGCCTTCCTGGTGTCGCTCATCTGCTTCTACAAGTGCCTCAGGGGGGTCCTGCTCAACCCCACGTGGATGGCGATACTGTACAGTTCGCACGCACCTTCCCACTGCTGCTGCTGTTTTACACGCTTCTGTGGTTGCTGGTGAGAGCGAG